AGTGGAAAGAATGAAAAACCTGTTCCTAGGAGAATATGATTCGTTAGATAATTGGTGAAGTTATATTGTGTAGATCAAAAATATACATACAAATCTTACATTAAAACATGCTTTAGAATCCAGTTTATTTTTGCATCTTTCTGTATTGAGCCATCCAAAATGTCTCAGACTTTGCCGGCACATTATTGCCCACCAACAAGAAATATACAACAACATTACACTTTTCTCACTAGCAATAGAGCGCACTGCAATTACTTCGGCTCCATAATCATGACTTAGTGAGAGATGCAAGAAACAATAATCTGATAAAATCGTGCACGCCAAGGAAGTCTCTGGTACTGCCTTTTCTGTCTTCTCGTAACATATTTGCAAAGCTATATAGAAAATCTATTATTTGAATGATCTTCCTGTTTATTTCCCCAAAACACACAAATGCACACACGGGTACACATACACACACACACACACAGACACACACAGCCCAAGATGGACTATAAACTCACCAGGAAGAAAATAGTATTTTTTTAAATCATTTTATCCTGTACGTCAAATGTCCATTTATTTTTCCTTTTCTACCTGATAAACCATTATGCATTATTTAAGATTCTCTGAGGACGTCTTCTGTCATCCACAAGTGGGGCTCCCTGTCCAACTCTATGGTTCCCCTATTTTGGTGCTTATCAGACATCATATTGGAATTTTCTATTTGTAAGTCTGCAGTTTGCTCAAAGGTAGTGGTCTTGTTTTATTAATCATTATATTACTAGCCAGTATCACAGCTCTCAGCACATAAAATGCATTTACTCTCTCTCACCCAAGAAAGAATTGAATAAATATATGGAGAGAGTTTTTTTTTTAATGTTTAAAAACAAATTATAAGTATATGGTAAAAAAAAAAAAAAAGTAATTTTATCAGGCACCATATGTTGATAAAAATTTTGTTGTCACCTACTTATGTTATTATTTGTCGTTAGTTAGCATTAGAAACCAGTATATTTTAAGTGTTAGTGTTATAAAAAGGATTTTTATTAAAAATTTAGAACCACTTTTTCATTTCATACCAAATAAAGCCACAATATAGTGTTTAGAAGTAAACTTTCAACAACGTGTGTGTATTTCCTTCAGATGTTTTCTGTGCATGTACATGCATATTTTGCAACACATCTATATTCTCTAACAAAACTGGGCTATCTTAGTATCACAGAAGGGAAGCCTGGATATTCATTAGATAACTAACAGTATCCACCCAAAGGGAATAAGCATGATCCCATATATTTGTAACAAGTGCCATATTTCTGTGTATACATATATAGTCCAGTAGGGCTGGCAGAACACTAACTGCTATAGATCAGCAGATACCTTGTGTATCAGAACTATGACACCATCCTCTAATTGTTCCTTGCCTCTAATCTCCCTATAATAGCTTACAATGAAGACTGGCAAACTCATTTTTTTTTTAAATAAAAGAAAACACTGTAAATATTTTGGGCATTGTGGGCCAGTGATATGACCCCCCAGCTCTGCCACTGCAGTGCCAAAACTACCACGGACAATCTTCAAGTAAACGAGTGTAGCTGTGTTTCGGTAAACGCACAAAAACAGGGAGCAGGACAGATTTGTTCCCCCTACCATTGTCTGCAGATCTTTGCCCTATAATATCATCAACTTTTGGTTTCTAAAATCAGAGTTGGTCAGGCACAGTGGCTCACACCTCAAATCCCAGCACTTTGGGAGGCCCAGAAGGGCGGATCATGTTAGACCAAGAGTTCAAGATCATTTTGACCAACATGGCAAGACTCCGCCTCTACTAAAATTACAAACTTTAGCTGGACCTGGTGGAACATGCCTGTAATCCCAGCTACTTGGGAGGCTGACACTTGAGAATTGCTTGAACGTGGGAGGCAGAGGTTGAAGTGAGCCAAGATCATGCCACTGTGCTCCAGCCTGGGTGGTGGAGCGAGACTCTGACTCAAAAAAAAAAAAAAAAAAATCAGAGTTAGAGTTAATGAAAATATCACCCATTCTTAAGAACACAATGTACAGTGAATTTTTCCCTCCACTTTCGTATCATGTTCTATGCATTCATGTTACAATATGTATTATATGTTATTATCATGAATTGTATGAATTTGTTTTCCTAGAGTAATGTGTGTATATACACACGCACACAAAAACTTACTGACCAAATGTAATTTCCATTATTCAGCTTAAGGTTTCCCATAAAATAACTCAATAGAATCTTGCCTGAAACCACAGTAGTACAGAGAGTTGAAACTTACTCTATCTTGTCCTTTTTCTATACTACTTTCAGATATTAAATTTTTGTCCCTCAACCATACTCATCTCAGTAAGAGAACTTAAGAATATTAACTTTTCACCATTCCCATCTTTCTTCCCAAACCCCAGATGAGGACTTTGACTTGTTCCCGAGTCCTCAACTCAGTCTTTTCTGCAAAAATTACTTTATGCCTCATGATTCTCACATAGATTATGTGGCATCCTTTGACAGTATTTCAAAAATATCCATTCGTATTAACTCAGTGTACACACACACACACACACACACACACACACACACACCTATTCCAGAGTTCAAAAAGCTGATAACATTTTTCCTCTTTGTAATTTTCCTTTACTTTTAGATCTCTGTTCTGATTTATTTCAACTATTTTCTCAAATGTTTTTCTAAATTAGGTAGGAGAATAATAGACTTTCCAGATCCGTCTCTAAATATTTATTTTGCCCTAGCTGATGGATCATATTTCTCTGAACAATAGATTTGGGGCTTCAGTGTTTTCTCTGTAGGCTGTAAATGGGACTTAACTCTCTATCAGATTCCTCTATTTCATGTAATAAATGTGAGGGTAGCATATTCACATTTATTCAGAGCTAATTTTAAAAAATCTGAATTTTTTAAAATTTTCTCTTTTTTATTAGGTTTTAAAACTTTAACAGGATTTTCCTATGTTTGACTCTTATTAAGTCTTCCTGGAACTTGGAAAGTCAACTAAACTTATAAAGTCAGTATATTATTCACTTCAAGAAAAATTATGATTGCTCCTTTCCTCCACTTGCTCTTTATTTTTCTCCAAGAACACATGTTATTCACATGATAGGTCTAATGAATATGTTCTCTAAATCTGCTTTCTTTTTCCCACAATATCCACAATTTTATGTTTGTTTCCGTGGCTATTAGCTACTTCTTGCAGTCAGTTACAATTTTAGGTACCAGGACAATAATTCAAGTCTAATCAGTTACCATCCACACCTTCAATCCATATATTGATTTTCTTTATTGTTGTTATTTACTTATTTGTTTAAAGGAAAAGGCTTTGAGTTACAGAAATGTTTGTGGCGTCGGTAAAAACCCTCCAATGCTCGCACTGACTACTGTTTAGTGTACCGTCTTTCCGGGTAATTCCTGCTGTGCCTGTTTTTCTCTCTAGTGTTTTACCCCCTGTGGTTATGACAGTTTCCTTTGTGCTCCTAAGGACCCTTACTTGTCTTGGAAATAGCTCACCAGGAGCACTCTCACAGGTGGGAACTTTTGCCTTCCTAAGGCAGAGGAGATCAGTTTTGTGGGCCTCAATTCCTTGATGTGGCAGAGATAATTCTGTCCTTGAGTTCCCATGCAAACTCTCACCCACCAGAGTTAATCATGCTGAAGCCTTTAATTCCCCCTCGACTCTCCCTGGAGATCAATATTCTGGGCCTCTCTTAGGCTCCTGCAGGCTGGTTCCTGTTTTCTGCTGTGGTCCAGAGGGAACGAGTTTGGCAATTGCTTTCTCCCCTGAGACTTCAGCTATGAGGAAGACCTCACTGTCTCTTCCTTACCTGCTCCTACAGTGACTGCAGGAGCTATCTGCCTAGCTCAAGAAGACTAACATACACTGGAATCTGGAGTTGACAGGAAAGATGCTGCCATCTTCCACTAAAATATATATACATACACACACACACACACACACACACATATATACACACACACACATATATATATCAAATTCACAGACTGACTTGATCAGTGACTGACTATAAGAACCTTAATCTGAAACAATACTCATACATGTGCAGTAAAATTAAATATATGAAATCTTTACTCAATAAATGTGTTACAAAGCTTAGAGTCTCATAAAGGTAGTCAAAAAGTATTATCACAGAAGAACCATTTTAAACTTAAAAAAAAATCATCCCATGAAATGAAAAACAAACAAAAATAAATTCAAATAGCTACACCACAGAAACCAGTGAGTGGTGAAAAAGCCCCAGATCATTAGGGTGACTCAAGCCCTGGATCATGATTACACTGGCTACAGTGTAGGCTTTGCATTCAGCTGAACCTGGAATAATGCCTACTTGGCTATTTCTAAATATGTGAATTTGCAAAAGTGACTTAAATACTTTATGCCAGTTTGCACATCTTGAAAATGATTTTCAAAATACTTCACAGGGCTGTCATATATTTTTAAATAAATAAGGCATGTAAATGCTTAGGAATATTTGAAAAGTTTTATTGATTAATGTAGCAACAACTATTAAAGGTATGATAATTTGGTCATGCACTGAAAGCTTAAAAGACCTGGAGACAAAAATTTCAGACATTCTAGAATCTTTCTTCTGTGCAAATAATCAAATTGAACATGCTGGTATGTTCTTAACAATATACATATAGAATTCACGTCATAGAAGAGACATATCAAAAAACATGTATTCCACGTGTTTTCAAACGTACGTTTCTTTCCCCTTGAGATCCAACTACTACCTACACTTACATTATTAGAAATCAACTTCAATGAATATTATAATTGCCAGACCCAATAGTCTTTAACACTGTATGCCTCAAAAAATACTAAAATATTTTGAAACTTCATATTTATATGAAGTGTATGTATATGTATCCCCTCCAGATACATATACAAGTAAAAATTGGTGTTCTAAAGATGACTTTTTTATTTTTAAAAATATGTTAATTGCATAATCATAAAAATGATTTTTCTTACCCATGTCTGACATTTCAGGCACAGTAACAATGTATGGTCCATCTGTGAATTTTGGAGCATTGTCATTGATGTCTTGCACTTTGATGATGAACTCAGATTCAGGTTCAAGAGGTTTGTTTGTACGTCTGTCAATGGCTTGAGCGTGAAGCACATAGTGGGTCTTCTGCTCTCTGTCTAGGCTTTTTGTTGAGTGGATGTCACCCGTGGTATCGTCAATGATAAATATAGTCCCAGCACCCTCTCCAGTAAGGATGTACTTGACAGATCCATCACCTTTGTCAGAATTGGAGTGAAGCTGTGAAATACACATGGAATAATTTAGCATGTATTTATATTCCGACCTCACATTATGTTCTCTGAAAATTCCCCACCTATAATTACTTTGTTTGACTATGACTTTTCTTCCCTTTACAGTGCGCTGTGTGTTACTGCTATCATTTACTTTTCTGCAGTTTTTTTCTTTTTTTCACTTGGTTAATAATAAGGATATTACTATCATGGTTTGTCTAAGAGATCCAGTTATTGAGCTAAGAAAAAACCAATAAACAATATTTATTAAAACAAAAATGGCCCTGTAATTTTACTAAATCCACATTCCACTAACTGCCATAAAGTTGGGAAAATAAATTCCTAGATTATTGTTGACTTCCGTACTTGTGAAAATAATATATTTTGTTTCATTTTGTTTTAAATATTTGACATTGATTTCAACTTTACAACTAGAAAAAATATATATATCGTATGACAAATTGAGGTTCAAATTAATTATTAAATTTTTCACAAAAGAGGCACATATTTAAGTCATAGTCACAGTCATATGTTTAATAATTAGAAAAAAATAAATGAAATCACTTCTAATATGAAGGGCTTTGATGTAGAGTATTAAAAAATAGAGTATTTTTGGCCTGGTGTGGTGGCTCACGCCTGTAATCCCAGCACTTTGGGCGGCCGAGGCAGGAGGATCACGAGGTCAGGAGATTGAAACCATCCTGGCTAACACGGTGAAACACCGTCCCTACTAAAAATACAAAAAGTTAGCCAGGTGTGGTGGCGGACGCCCGTAGTCCCAGCTACTCAGGAGGCTGAGGTAGAATGGCGTGAACCTGGGAGGCGGAGTTTGCAGTGAGCTGAGATGGTGCCACTGCACTCCAGCCTGGGCGACAGAGTGAGACTCCGTCTCAAAAATAATAATATTAAATAAATAAATAAATAAAATACTTTTTTAGGGATAGAGTATTTTTTTAGTTAGGGATTATAAAACTTTAACTCAAAATTTAAATAGTAGTTGATATTTAGTTGATAAATAGGCCCTCATTTTAATTAACTGAAATATAGTAACAAATCTACACTTACTAAAATTAAAATTATCAAATATATTTGAATAGATATTATTAAAGTAACAATAAATTAGAGAAGAGATATTCAATAAGAAAAATACCTTAAATATTAAGATAATACACTTTGTTGTCATTTAAACTGCATGTAGTTTTTGCTAAAGATTGTGCTATAACACCAAATTCACTTAAATAGTTCCATGAGTGCCAGTGCTATATTTCTAGCTAGAAATAACAGCAGTATTTCCTCAGTTCACAAATATATTTTTAAGGATTGTTTCTCCCAAGAGGTCTGAACAGTTATCCTTTATATTAAACCCTTTTGGTCACATAACCTCAATGACTTACCTTTTTCTCATTTCTGACACGTAGAAACATTGAAAAAACACAACCTTGTTCACATAGCATTTCAGTTTTCTTGCCATAGGAACATGAACATTTTTGAGTTTTAAAGTCTCTGAACTCTCAGAAGACATTTGGAAAAGACAAAATACAGAAAAAGACAATGCAATATGAGAAAAAAGACTTTTTCTGGGAAAATTAGGGCAACTGAAACATAAATGATAGTATGGGAATAATTTTGCTTCTTTCTTGAAAACATGTACAAAATTACCAGGGCAAAATTTTGACAGGAATCACAGAGTAAGATTCAACAAATGAAACCATTTAAAAATGCTTATTTAGATCTTGTATAAAAATGAGCAAAAATACACAGCTTTCAAAGATTCACACTTCATTAGTAAACTGGATACTAAAAGAAGAACGCAGAATGAATTGGGTGATACAATTGTATCCATGTATGAAAATGTGTTTATTTATTTATGTCTCTTAACATATCATTTTAGTTACTAGAAGAAAAGATTCATCTTTCATGAAGCAGACACCCACAAATTATCAGTAGAGCAACCTATTTCATATTCTCTAACTTCACATCAATCTGTGACTAAAACGGAGCAAAGTAAATCAACAAATTCATTTAGCAAATGTTTTTAAAACCTTTTCTAGAATACTTGTCATTAAACTATAAAAGGTGAGATAGTTTGGTAATTATTATGTTGTTATATATAAATTATAAATCTATATTTTGTACTTATAACTATATAAAACATTTCTACATAATGTGTTATGCCTTTTAACAATTTCTAAAAGTTTAACAATGATGAAAATTGGCATTCATCTTCAGGATATGTATGTGTGTGTGTGTGTGTGTGTGTGTGTATATATATATACATGAAAAACATTTTTAGCGAACTTTATTTGATATCACCTAGTCTTTTTATTACTAACAAAATGTAGTAATATAAAATTATACTAAGTGTACAGTTAGGTTCGTATTACAGACACTTAAGTATATTTAAAGAAGAATAGGCTTAAGTATATAAGAGAAATAGTAAAGTTCTTAAACTACAGCATCTATTAAAATATATATACTATACACTCTATATAAATTCTAGTAATTCAGATATAAAATAAAAATTTCAGTAATTTTAGGGCTATCAGTTTTAAGACTTGAATATGACTCCACATGTGTACCATTATCATAATTCACATACACTTTCTATAATTAATAAAGTTTTTATAATACCTAATAAACAGCATAAATGCTTCTGAAGACATGACTAATTTGAACCTCTATTGCAATAAGATCAGTGAATTATAATTCAATAATATTTATATTGTTGGATAACCTTATACCAAATATTATGAAACTTACACCAAAATATCATGGAAATGTATTTAGATTACATTGCTTTCTGAGAATATTTAGCATGAGTTTTTAAATAATGTAGATGATCATTTTATTAATGAAATTTTAGTTTCTTGGCCAGCCTGGTGCAGGGGCCTTTGAAAACAGTATGCTGAGAATAGATAGGGCTCAAGGACAGTATCTCCAATTGAACTTTTAATGAACTCCCATAGGCGCCAAGAAGGCGGGCAGATAAGGAAGAGCATAGAGACAAGGAACTGAGTAGAAGGTTACATCTGGGAAAAGAAAGTTTGTTTTGCATTGCGTTCTTTCTGCTGATGTGGGGTTTATGGAGTATAAATAAAGTGAGGCGGAGGCTCTGAGTGCGGCCACCATGTTCTCTGTTTGTCTTTGTCTTTTGTGTCTGTTCATTCTCCACCACCCCCGGCACGGACCCCAATACCCTGGTTAAATCTTGAAATAATCACATTCCCATGTAACACTAATGGGAAACCATTGTAGTAGTTATTTAGTAGATTGACTAATACTTTATATGATTATGATGATAACCACTTGTGAAGTAGCAAAGTGGTTTACTCTCAAGATTCCCTCTCCTCCACCCCATCTATTCTCAAATCTCAGTTCTGTTTGTAACATACACTTTGCAACAGGAATGCAGCCTGAAAGAAACCTTGACTATTTTTTTTTTTTTTTTTTTTTTTTTGAGACGGAGTCTCGGCTCTGTCGCCCAGGCTGGAGTGCCGTGGCCGGATCTCAGTTCACTGCAAGCTCCGCCTCCCGGGTTTATGCCATTCTCCTGCCTCAGCCTCCCAAGTAGCTGGGACTACAGGTGCCCGCCACCTCGCCCGGCTAGTTTTTTGTATTTTTTAGTAGAGATGGGGTTTCACCGGGTTAGCCAGGATGGTCTTGATCTCCTGACCTCGTGATCCGCCTGACTCGGCCTCCCAAAGTGCTGGGATTACAGGCTTGAGCCACCGCGCCCGGCCCAACCTTGACTATTTTGTCTTGAATTTTTTAATAAATGAGTTTTAACACTCTAGAGAAGTATTTTATTAATTTTTGGAAGCCAAAAAATGATGAATGAATGAAATATGTGAATAGTAAGGGTAGTTGCAGACATAGAAAACTTGAGAAATGGAGAAAAAGCTCTTGAATAGAGATAATCTGGTTAGGAATATTATGATGATAGAAGTATGTCATCTCTGAGTGGGGTCACCAATGAGACATCAAATGAAATAATTTGGAAAAGAGCATGGAAATTAGAAATACTCCATATATACACATGGTAGTGACTCAGTAACCAGTTAAATATAGGTTACAAGCTTAGCTAGTCACTATACTACTTAAGAGAGATGTCCATGATTTTTTTACAGTGAAATAAGAAAAGATATTTGGAAGATAAATTTGATTTCAGTCATATACAGTGGAGTTCTTTTTTTTTTTTTTTTTTAAATCAGTTTAGTAATACCAAGTACCAGGGTCTGAATGTAACACCTTATTTATACTTTTAGAGCCATGGGATTTTGCAAACTGGGCTGTATTTTCATGCTGAAAGACAGACATTTTATTGTGCTAAAGCAAGAACAGATAGTCTTTGGGTATCTCATCACATAATAAAGTAGGGTTAATTAACTGCTCTTTAGAGAACATCAAAGGAATGAGGGGTAAAAAAAAAAAAGAAAATGCAGTCACTCTAGTGAAGCAAAATGCTAGTAATCTCTAGCATTACTTTAATAAACTCACTTTCTTAGCATTAAGTAGTAACCTATGGCACTTAGAAAGTCAATGTGACTCACATGAGTTCACTCTAGAAAACTATTTATTCACCCTGGACTACATTAGGATCAGGACCTGAAAATGTATAGCTTTCACTCTAATGCAAAGTTGCTCAATACAATCATATTCTATCCCCTGGGGAAGAATAACTTTAAAAGGTTAAGAAGATGGTGGTGGAGCCATTCATTTAGAAAGTTGAGTTTAATTAGGACTTTAAGCTATTTTAAAAAGATAGGTCATTGACTTAAAACTGTAATATTTTGGGCTACATAATTTATACACTTGTTTATAAGTAGAAAACATATTTATAATATTTCAGTGGAAGCCAAAAATAAAGGCAGAAATACAGTAATTCCACTATGATTGATCATTATCTCCAAAACTTGCATAAAATTATGTGACACAATATGAAAGAAATGTGAAAACATGGGGGATACATGTCATTGAGAGGTATTATGTATCCTTCATTCCAGAAGG